GATGTTAAAGGAGCCCCCCACGCACAGGGGCTCCGCAGTTGGAACATTATTAAACTGGATCGAAGGCGGCGGCACAATAGGTGAGCCAGGAGGGCTCTGATTGAAATGGAATGATAATAGGCAAGACTAGTAGATCCATGTTTGAGAAAGTGCTGGAAAGTTCTGTAGTTTCAATCTATAGGGTGCATTGACTAATCAAGGAAGGGGGAATCCTTGGGTAAGGAGTCAAGGTGGGTGGGATTTGTCAGAGCTGCTGGAAAGAAGCGGAGGAGCTGATCTGTTAATGTCTTCAGATAGTTTTATTCCAGAGAAGATTGGAGAGATTGCTTGTCACGCTCTATCTCGTCTGAGAAAGTTTGTGAGGGTTAGATTAGGTTCCTAGTAGCCATTTTCAGACTAGCCCAATAGTATGCCAACTAATGCCTAATGGAGGGTAAAGGAGTTGTGGAAGGTAGCTAAACCGAAAGATGGAGATTAATGTCTGGTGAAGGGACCAGAACATAAGATAATCTTAGTTCAGCAGGAGACAGTTACAATCTCAGAATAAAATATCACAGATAAAGAAACAGGACAATGAAGTTACACTCTGTGAAAATTAAACAGAATATATGCCAACTGTCCTCCCTCTTACTTCCAATTCGCTAAGAATACTTTAGTCCAAAAAGCACTCTCCGTGAGAGAAGAGACTGGAATAGTTGTACACTAGCAATAAACTTGTTCATGGAGTTTATGACAGCACTATTCTCAATAGCCATAAGGTAGAAGCAGCCCAAGTGTCCAAGGAAGGAATGAATATACAAAATGTGCCCCATATATAATGCCCATATATATATATATATATATATATATATATATATATGTAATATTATTCAGGCTTAAGTAAACTCTGACACATGCTGTAACACATACTTGAACTTTTGAGGATATCTTGCTAAGTGAAAAAAAAAACAGTTACAAAAAGAAATTACTGTATAATTGTATTATTATGAAGAACTAGAGTAATCAAATTCATAGAGACAGAAAATAGAATAGTTGTTGTCAGGGGCTGGAGAGAGAAGGGGAATGGAGGTTTGTTTAGTGAATATAGAATTTCAGTTTTGAAAGATAAAAAGATTTTTAGAGGTTTTTTGGCCAGCAATGTGAATGAACTTACTGCTAAACAGTACACTTAAAAAATGGTTAGGATGGTAAATTTCACATTATGTGTATTTTAGCACAATGGAAAGTAATAAGGGTGCCTGGATGGCTCACTCCGTTGAGCATCCAACTCTTTTTTCAGCTCAAGTCATGATCTCAGGATTGTGGGATCAATCCTGTGTTGAGTTCCATGCTGAACGTGAATCCTGTTTAAGATTCTCTCTCTGTTCCTCTGCCCCTCTCCCTTGCTCGTTTGTGTTCTCCATCTGTCTCTCTAAATTAAAAAAGTAATAAAGTAAAAAAAAAAAAAAGCACTCTGCCAAAACTTTATCTCATTTTTTTCTTCTCAGGCCTCGGAAGACCATGGCTGCTGCTAAGGGAATGGCCATTGGCATCGACCTGGGCACCACCTACTCATGCGTGGGGGTGTTCCAGCACGGTAAGGTAGAGATCATTGCCAATGACCAGGGCAACCGCACCACCCCCAGCTATGTGGCCTTCACCGACACGGAACGGCTCATTGGGGATGCGGCCAAGAACCAGGTAGCCATGAATCCCCAGAACACTGTCTTTGACGCCAAACGTCTGATTGGCAGGAAATTTAATGATCCTGTAGTGCAGGCAGATATGAAACACTGGCCTTTTCAAGTAATCAATGAAGGAGGCAAGCCCAAGGTAACAGTGTCCTACAAAGGGGAGAAAAAAGCTTTCTATCCTGAGGAAATCTCTTCTATGGTACTGACAAAGATGAAGGAGACTGCTGAGGCCTTTTTGGGCCACCCTGTCACCAATGCTGTGATAACTGTGCCAGCTTATTTCAATGATTCTCAGCGTCAAGCCACCAAGGATGCAGGTGTGATTGCGGGTCTCAATGTGCTAAGAATTATCAATGAACCCACAGCTGCTGCCATTGCATATGGCTTAGATAAAGCAGGTCAGGGAGAGCGACATGTCTTGATCTTTGACCTGGGTGGAGGAACATTTGATGTGTCCATCCTGACCATAGATGATGGAATCTTTGAAGTAAAGGCCACAGCTGGGGACACCCACCTTGGTGGAGAGGACTTTGACAACAGGCTTGTGAGCCACTTTGTGGAGGAATTCAAGAGGAAGTACAAGAAGGACATCATCCAGAACAAGCGAGCCGTGAGGCGGCTGCGCACCGCCTGCGAGCGGGCCAAGAGGACCCTGTCGTCCAGCACCCAGGCCAACTTGGAAATTGATTCACTTTATGAAGGCGTCGACTTCTACACGTCCATCACCAGAGCCCGATTTGAAGAGTTGTGTGCAGACCTGTTTAGAGGCACGTTGGAACCTGTGGAGAAGGCTCTTCGGGATGCCAAGATGGATAAGGCTAAGATCCATGACATTGTTTTAGTAGGGGGCTCCACCCGCATCCCTAAGGTTCAGAGGCTGCTACAGGACTACTTTAATGGTCATGATCTCAATAAGAGCATCAATCCAGATGAGGCAGTGGCCTATGGGGCTGCTGTACAGGCAGCCATTTTGATGGGGGACAAATCTGAAAAGGTACAGGACCTGCTTTTGCTGGATGTGGCTCCCTTGTCCCTAGGGTTGGAAACAGCCGGGGGTGTGATGACTGTCCTGATCAAGCGCAACTCTACCATTCCCGCCAAGCAGACGCAGATCTTCACCACCTATTCAGATAACCAGCCAGGGGTATTGATCCAGGTGTATGAGGGCGAGAGGGCCATGACCCGAGATAACAACCTGCTGGGGCGCTTTGACCTGACTGGAATCCCTCCTGCACCCAGGGGAGTGCCTCAGATTGAAGTGACCTTTGACATCGATGCCAACGGTATTCTCAATGTAACAGCCATGGACAAGAGCACGGGCAAGGCCAACAAGATCACCATCACCAACGACAAGGGCCGGCTGAGCAAGGAGGAGATTGAATGCATGGTCCTGGATGCTGAGAAGTACAAAGCTGAGGATGAGGTCCAAAGAGAGAAAATCGCTGCAAAAAATGCCTTAGAATCTTATGCTTTTAATATGAAGAGTGCTGTGAGTGATGAGGGCTTGAAGGGCAAGATTAGTGAGTCTGATAAAAAGAAAATACTGGATAAATGCAATGAGGTCCTTTCGTGGCTGGAGGCCAATCAACTGGCTGAGAAAGAAGAGTTTGATCACAAGAGAAAGGAATTGGAGCAGGTGTGTAACCCAGTCATCACCAAACTCTACCAGGGAGGATGCGCTGGGCCTACCTGTGGGACAGGGTATACTCCTGGAAGGGCTGCCACAGGCCCCACCATCGAAGAAGTAGATTAATCTTATCTGGAGCTGGAGGGCTCTAGGGTGCCTCTAAGGTGAATTTTGTTCCCCTCATCTTCAAACATTGTTATGATTCTTGAATTGACTGGACCTGAACCTGTTACCATCCCTTTCAGATTCTGACAAAAGAGTCTTGTATACCACCTTTTCACAATCCCTGTTTCTGACTCTTAGGAAAACTAGGCCCCTCTTTGAGCCATTTGATGAATTTGAATGTCTGTTATTTATTTCCAACCTTCCCAACTTTCTTCTTCCTGTGTGGATGGTTATTTGTCACTCAGTAAATTTGTTCCTAAAACAAAAATTTTTTCTGGTATCTTTATTTTTTTTATTTTTTTTTTTACCTTTTTAAAGTTTATTTTTATTTTTTAAAATATATTTAAGTGCATTTAGGTCATCTTTACCTCCAACGTGAAGCTTGAACTCATGACCCCAAGATGAAGAGTCACATGTTCTTCCTGCTGAGCTAGATAGGTGCCCCTCTTCTGGTATCTTTAGACTGTTACTGTACCTTGAAAATAGGAAAAGAAGAATCAATGAAGAGAGAGTGTGTGTGGTCTGATTGTGAGCTCATTGTGAATCATTAAACTGGTAAGTGGAAAGTATTTGAATTTTCATGAGCTAATTGTCTTAAGCGGGAAAATAGCTTTTTGTAAAGTTTATTTGTTTATTCACTCTGAGAGTGAGCGACCACAGGGAGAGGCAGAGAGAGAGAGAGAGAAGAGAAAGAGAAGAGAGAGAATCCCAAGTAGGCTCCACACTGTGCCATTAGCGCAGAGCCTTATGCAGGGTGCGAACCCAAGAACTGTGAGATCATGACTTGAGCTGAAATCAAGAGTCAGATGCTTAACCAACTGAGACACCCAGGCGTCCCTGAAGCAGGAAAATAACTTTTGATCATCAGCCTCCTTTAGCTCCAGGTAGAGCAGTTGCTATGCTTGTACTCAGTGATAGAGTGATTTAGGTGCTTAGGGTTCAGCTGGGGGGTGGGGGGTGGAGACAAACTTCTGCTTGATATCCTCCTTATGATACTTATAGTGGGGTCAGAAGATCCAAGATCTGTGTATTCAGAGTCGATTATTACATCTTTTACATGCAGAAAACATTTCTACAACAAAGTGCTGACAAATGGGTACTTTTGTGCAAGGTGAGAAATGGAGGATTTGTAGTCTTATTGAAAAATATTTTCACCTATTGTGTCATATCCCATATTTATAAAACCCTTGGGGACAGGAGCATAAAAGTATGTGTAACAGCACTTGTGTCCCTTTGTGTTTTAAGTGAAATGTTACAATGGGAATTTCTAGCCCTGAGCAAGTTTCTGTTTGGTTTTACTCAGTCCTTTACAGGCAAAAAGGTCTGAGAAATATGGACTGAGATTGGGTCCTTGGGAGAAATATGTTACTGGGAGCCTTTGATAGAATCAAGGAGTGCTCAGGCTCCTGATTTCGGGGGTTCTGCACCATGTTATTTTCTAAAGTTTTTATCGAAGTGTGACAGATATAGAAAAGTGTACAAATCAGGAGTTTTCGCAAATTCCTCCACAGTTGTCAGCAGAATGTAAGGTGTGAGCAATCGTGCTGTGGATGGCACTGTCAGTGAAAAAAACCTCTAAGAGGCAGTGTACCTCTTCAAACAGCTGGGGCCCGCGCCTGCGTGTTTGGAAGCCCGCCACTCGGGAGGAAGTGGAAAGGCAGGAAGACCCGCCCCTTTCCCGGCTCAAGCGCCCCCTCGGCTCTCCCCTTGCTAGCGCTCCCGGCGGTGCGACCCTGCCGCTTGCCGTAGTGCTTGCTCGGAGTTTCCTCCGAGCATCTCGTGGCGCCTGCGCGACCCCGCCCATTCCCACGCGCGGGCTAGCGTCTCGATTGCGGTCCGGCCCCAGTCCCGCGGTTCCCGGCTCTCGCTTTCCCGGCCCGGCCGGCAGCGGCTTGAGCACCATGGTAGGTACCGTGACGTCACAAGGGGGCGCCCGGGCGGAGCGCGGGCGTGCCGGCGGATAGTAGTCGGGGTGGCGTCTAGGCTTTGACCCGCGGGGTCGGAGTTGGGCCCAGGGGTCTTGCCTCCATCCTTAGTTCTCACGCCTCAAATTCTGGGGTGCGGGGGAAAGACACCTGGGAGCAAATGGGGATTTTCCTTCTTTTGTTTTTTTTCTTTTTTTTTTTTTTTTTAAACTTATGAGGGAAACAAAACAAACGCGGGAGAGAGTTGGAAACAAGGGGAGGGAAAAAGCGAGACCTCAGGAGGCTTTGGGAGGGTGTGAATGGGATACTTTGTACAATTCTGTTCACTGGGGCGAGTGGGCAGGGCCCCAGGAGAGGTGGGGGATTGAGAGACGCACCCGGAGAGCCCGAGGAGTGCAGGGCAGAGCGTCTCTCTGGGGCTTTCAGCCAGGGGCTCAGTGAAGGGTGCAGAATCATTTGCGCTTCAGGCGGTCGTCCCTATCAGTATTCTTTCCTGTGAAGTTTTGAGAACTTGCCAGAGATGTGGTGGGGATCCCAATACCAGTATTTGGGGAGACTGGCAAAGGAGCACTCCTCCCTACTGTGTGCCTTCCCATATGATGGTTCTCCCCCTCTCGCCCAATAGCTCTTCTATTCCTTTTTCAAGTCCCTCGTGGGCAAGGATGTGGTCGTGGAACTCAAGAATGACCTGAGGTAGGTACCCATTCTGTAGGGGGCGAAGATATGCAGGGCTCTGGGACCTCTTTGACAAGTATTTGAGGGCTGGGCACAGTGGGAGAGCTACAGAAGAAATAAATGACCAGTGCCTTAAGTTTAAAGTACTAGAAAGAGGGCAGCGCAGGCATCAATAACATTTTTTCCTTCTTTGCGAAACGAACATAGTTTTGGTTTTTTTCTGACTAAATCATAGACTACTTTGACCCAGCTTACAGAAATGTACGAATCAGTGCCACAGGTAAAGATGTATGTGCAAAGAGGTTTGTGGTTTTACTTTCAATAGCCCCAAATTGGAAACAAATAGCTGTCTACAGGGAATGGGTTGATTGAGTTGTGGTACTTCCATATTATACAGCTGTCACAGAGGAATACGGTGCATTGATATGGAGAGCTGTTGCAGAATAGTATATATGGCACAATCTTCCTTTTGTTAAAGAAAATGTAAAGGGTGAGCCAAAGACCAATGCAATCCCTTAGGTCTATGCTGCTTTTACATCCTCTACCCCTTGTATCATTAGTTCCTAATTACTGTTCAGGACTTGGAGTAAATGCTGTATCCTTGGAGACACTTTTTTCCTGGTCCGTCTAGCCATATAAAGTCTGTCATATAGTCTAATTTTCTTCCTAGTGGGTGCTTCTCAAATTGTGGTTTCATAGAAATGTTTATGGTTTATGTCCTGTCCTTCCTACAGGGCCAGAACCTCAGCTCACCATTGTGTATCTAGCATAGGCCTGGTATATAGTAGGTGCTTAATAGCTGTGTGCCGAAAGAAAGAAAAATAGCTAACATTTGAGAACCTTCTATCAACTAAGCACTATTCTGAATACTTTGTATGTATGAATTTATTTAATTCTCATAACATGTCCATATGACATATACTATTGTTGCTGTCTTACACATGAGGAAACTGAAGCATAGACATACATGTTAAGAAACTTGCTCAAGTCTACACAGTTAGTGAATGACACAGTCAGAACTGAAGTCCAGTTGTGTCTGGTGTGTGCACACGTGTGTGCACGCTCCCTTAAATTAAAAACAGAGCAAGACAAATACCATATGATTTCACTCACACGTAGAATTTAAGAAACAAAACAAATGAACATAGGTGGTGGGAAAGAGGCAAACCAGAAAATAGATTCTTAACTATAGAGAATAAATTGAGGATCACTGGAGGGGAGGTGGGCAGGGAGTGGACTAGATGAGTGAGGGATATTAAGGAGGGCACTTGTGATGAACACTGTGTGTTGTATGTAAGTGTTGAGCCACTAAATTCTACACCTGAAACTAATATTACACTATATGTTAACTAGAGTTTAAATAAAAACTTGAAAAAAAGGGTCATATTCTTTATGCAGTTGTGAAACTTGCTTTTCATCTGACAGTATGTTGTGGATATTTTCCATGTCAATAAAGTTGATCTTTAACATTCTTAATGTCTGTATGGCATTTTTATTCGCTGGCTGGAACTACTTTAACCGACTTTGCTGTTGCACATTTAGGCTGTTTCCAGTCCCTTGTTTTTATAAATCATGCTGCCCTGGACATCCTCATGCATGCATCTTTGTTCCCATCTCTTTCTTTAGGAAAAAAAATCCTTTGAAGTGTACATTTAAAGTATCATTACTTATTACCTGACTCTCCTTTAGAAACTTTATTTTTTTAACTTTATTTTCCAAGTTTTTATTTAAATTCCAGCTAACATACAGTGTAATATTCGCTTCAGGTGTAGAATTTAGTGATTCATCACTTAACATACAACCAGTGCTCATCACAAGTGCCCTCCTTAATACCCAACTTTTTTTTTTTTTTAATATTTATTTATTTTGGGGAGAGCACAAGCAGGGAGGGGCAGAAAGAGGGGGACAGAGGATCCAAAGCAGCCTCTGTGCTGACAGGCTGACAGCAGCAAGCCTGATGTGGGGCTTGAGCTCACGAACGAGATCGTGACCTGAGCCGAAGTCAGACGTTCAACCAACTGAGCACCCCAGGTGCCCCTCAATTTTTTTTAAGATTTTATTTTTAAGTGATCTCTACACCCAGTGTGGGACTCAACCCCACAACCCCAAGGTCAAGAGTCACACGCTCTACTGAGACAGCCAAGCGTCCCTCTTTTAGAAACTTTGAATCAGTGTATTCCCCACCCCCAACAATATCTTCCATGTTTCTTTGTGAGGTAATTTCTTAGTTGGGGAAACGTTGATGTCGTGAGGAATGATGAAGAGAGGGACTTGCCTTTATTTTTAAGATTTTATTTTTTAAAGTAGTCTCTACACCCAATGTGGGGCTTGAATTCATAACTTCGAGATCAAGAGTTGCGTGCTCTTCCGATTGAGTGAGCTAGGCACCCTAGACTTGCCTTGTAGATCAGAGATTCCCATTTATGGCACTAGTGATGCACATGGTATTGATGGTATACAGGTTGGGGCCATATAGAGAGACAAGTGTGGAAGCCAAAACCACCCTAGGCAATTCTGTGAGATGATTTGTTTTTGGTTTTCCTCTTCTCTCCTTCCTGGGTCTTCTACATGGCAATAATAGCTTATGTCCCGTGCCCTACAACAGGGACTTACAAGATTTGAAAGTAGTCCATTGGGTTGGGGGAAGAGCTTGTTTCTCTCATGCTTGATGTCATACTATTTTTCTGCCAGATACTGTTAAAGGACTGAATGAAATGACACCACCTTACACAATTCCTGAAAGTTACTTCGCTGTTGCAGATGGTAGTAGGGTGCTCTCAAAGGCTTTTCAGCAGCCAGGGATGTGGGGAAGCCACCACTGAGGCAGTATGTCTCTGGATTTCAGAGACTTAGAATTTAACAAAAATTGGGGTCCACAGAGAACTGCCAATTTATTTTTGGCAAGGACATTTCTAAAATTACCATTTATTATAATCATTTTTATTAAAAATTTTTGTTCATACCTGAAAGTAAGGGCAATTAAAGAGTTATTCTTAGGGAAGAATATTGGTAATCTTTAGCACACTACATACACACTCAACACACGCTATATTAACTTGTGTTTTGTTTTTAATGTTTGTTTATTTTTGAGAGAAAGGCAGAGCGTGAACAGGAGAGGGGCAGAGAGAGAGGGAGACACAGAATCTGAAGCAAGCTCCAGGCTTTGAGCTGTCAGCACAGAGCCCGACTCGGGGCTCGAACTCACAAGCAGTGAGATCGTGAGCTGAAGTCAGACGCTTAGCTGACTGAGCCACCCAGGCGCCCCAACCTGTGTTTCTTTTGTCACAGACTTAAGAAACCTTTGGGCACACATCAGTGTTTGAGAACCACAGTCCTAAGGAACATAGAATTGTGATGACATGCGGGGCGGCCAGGATGGAAGCTGACCTGGATTGAGGTGTAATTAGACCTTGGTTTGTAGAAGTCAAATTGGAAAGAGAATTACGGAAATGTTAGAAAAATGTCATCAAATGATGGGGACATGGGTCATGGAGGATGGTGAAGTACTACTCAGGATTTGAGGTTGTAAGACTGTTGAAGCCATTGACAGAAATTAAAGAGGTTGGGAAAGAGAGGTAGCATGACTTGGAGTACTGGTGTTCTGATAGCATTCCTCATTCACATTTCAGAGGGCCCAGGGATTGAGGAAGGGACAGGACATCCCTGTGCCTGCATCAAGAACAATGTTAAGCTATTTTGTCTACTTTACCTATGGGGCTCTGGTTCCAAGGCAAGAAATGTTTGAAAATAGCTGATGGTTTGGGGAATCAGACAGACCTGGACTCAAGTCCCTGTTTGTCCTAAACTTGGGCACCTTACACAATCTCTGAGTCCCTAGAGGGTAATGGCTATCTTGCAAAGTGGCTAGAAAGACTGCAAATATGTGGAATACAGGTCTAGTGCATGACAGTTGTTTAATGGTAGCTGTTAAGAGTGAGTTGGTTTGGGGGCGCCTGGGTGGCTCAGTTGGTTAAGTGCCAACTTTGGCTCAGGTCATGATCTTGCAGTTTGTGAGTTCAAGCTCCATGTCGGGCTCTGTGCTGACAGCTTGGAGCCTAGACCCTTTTTGGGATTCTGTGTCTCCCTCTCTGTCTGCTCCTCCCCTGCTCACATTCTGTCTCTCTCTCTCAAAAAAAAAAAAAAAAAAAAAATTTAAAAAGTGAGTTGGTTCTAGGAGAGGAGACATGAGATCTAAAATAACACATTGCATGGGTACCTGGGCAGCTCAGTCGATTAAGTGTCTGACTTTGGCTCAGGTCATGATTCCACAGTTCATGAGTTCAAGCCTCGAGTCAGGCTCTGTGCTGACAGCTCAAAGCCTGGAGCTTGCTTCAGATTATGTCTTCCTCTCTCTCTGCCCCTCCCCCACTCATGCGCTCACGTTCTCTCTCTCTCTCAAAAATAAATAAACATTTAAAAACTAAATAAGTAAAATAACATATTGCAGTAAAAGCATTGTCTTTCTTGCTCCTGGGTTTAGGAATGCCCCCTTTTGGTTCTACGTTTTCTGGCTTCCTTAAGTCCTTGACTTCCCCCAACCATGTTCTTATCCTTGCTCTGAAGACATCTCTGTTTATTTTGGTTTAAACTGATTTGGTTCTCTCCTCCATCTCCCCCGACAGCATCTGTGGAACCCTCCATTCTGTGGATCAGGTGAGATATCGTAGGAGCCTAGACTTGGGTCTTGGGGAAGGAGAGGGGAGAGTTTCGGTGCTGGGTACTTGCATGTTTTCTCTAGAGCTGATGATGCTATTCATCTTCTTTTCTTAGTATCTCAACATCAAACTAACTGACATCAGTGTCACAGACCCTGAGAAATACCCTCACATGGTGAGTTGGCAATGGTGAAGAGGAAACAGAAGCAGGATGCTCCCGGGTGGATAGCAGATATTTTTAAGGGTGTTTTCACATTTGTCTATCTTGGTCTAGTTATCAGTGAAGAACTGCTTCATCCGGGGCTCAGTGGTCCGCTATGTGCAGTTGCCAGCAGATGAGGTCGACACACAGTTGCTACAGGACGCAGCAAGGAAGGAGGCCCTGCAGCAGAAACAGTGATGGTTCCTTCTCCTCCCTGTCCCTCTTCTATTGGTGACCTTTAACCTCAAGTCCCAGCCAGGACCCCTCCCTCCCCATATTGAGGATTTGTTGTCTTTTTTTTTTTTTAATAGTGGAGCCTTTTTTTTTTTCCTATTGTTATTTCAGCGATGAGTGGATGAGAGGAAATAGTGTGGAGCAGCTCTCCTCTGTTGAGGAGGGGAGGATAAGTAGGCTGGGGAACTGCAAAGTCTGCCTTGTCCTCAGCATCTGTCCTTCTCACTCCTTCCCTGGAGTGGGAAGAATCTTCTAGATTCTGGTGGAAGAATCTCCTAGATTTCTTCAGGGCACCATGTGATTCGTTTTGGGGATGGAAGGAATCTGTCCCGCATCGGGAATAAACTTATGATGCACATTTGAGTTCTAGTTCTGTGTGTGTTTGGGGAAGGAGCCTGGAGGGTGGGAAAGGAATGTTGCATTCATCCAAGCCCTGCTACTCTCATCACCTCAGCCAAGAATCCAACCCAACTTCCCAGCATTGTCTGCCCCTCTTCTTGGCATAAACCATGTAATACCTCACCTGGCTACACCATGTTTCTTGAACATGCCCCTGCCTACCGTGGTCTTCTGCTTATACCCACAACGAGTACTTGCTGCCCTTCCATCTCTGTCCTTCTGTTAACCTGACAGTTAATGAGACACCAACATGCATTTGATGCTGCTCTATCATGCCGCCTCAACCCAGCCAAATCACTACACGCTTCCTGAATATCTATAGAGGTTTAACATAAGTGACCATTTTTATTGTGGAGAGTTGTAACTGGGAATTAACTGAATTCTTAACTGGCTGATTCAGCAAATAGGAGTTTTCTATACAGATGAGTTCTCAGCGCTAGAGGACCTTACGGGCCCTCCAGTTGACTCCCTCTTCTTTGCGGAGGGAATGAGGCTCCGAGAAGAGGCGGGGCGCCCTCTCGGCCGCGGCCGGCAGGTTCCCGGACTGCCCGCTGGGCGCCGCCCTCCTCTGGCCCGCCCGAGGACCCGTGCAAGGTGCCCGCGGTGGCGCCTGACCGAAGAGCGGTTGCGGGGCCGTCCTCCGCTCCCGCGTCCGCGTCCCGCGCGGTCCCTCGTGAGCGCGGTCGGCGGCGGGTGGCGCGGCCTCGGGCCAGTGTCGGGCAGGGCCGCACCCGCACACGCAGGCGGAGCACGGCCGCCCGCGCCAGGACCCGCGGGCCCGGAAACGCTTGTTGTCACAAAGGGGGGGAACACGTGGGCACACACGGCCCGGCGGCGGTCGCAGGGAGCTGGCATCGCCCGGAGAACCGCCCACCGTCCCTGCCCGCCGGACTTCTCGGCCCCGGCCTCCAGGCCGGTCCACCTTCGGCCGGCGCCCGGCCGTGGGGTGGCTGTCCGGCTGGGCCTGACCACCTCTCTCCAGTACGTACCGGCGGCCCGAGCCCGCGTCCTGCCGCTCGCCGAGGGTCTATCCCGCAGTCCCCGAGCACGCGCGATCCTGGGGAGTTTCCCACTGGCACTGCCACTCCGAGAGCCGGGCCCTTGGCTTTTAAGGCCCTATCAGACCTCCAGTCCTGGGGGTCTCGGGCACCTGCGGTACAGGAGTCCCCACGGGGGTGCCCTCTCTCCTCCAGTAGGACGCCCCTGGGTTCCTCAGTCTTCCCGTCTTTCCTTCTCCTTAGGTTTTTGTCCACCTCGTTCGGACCCCCTGCGTAACCATGTCCATCCTGTATGTCTCCCCTCATCCCGATGCCTTCCCCAGCCTCCGTGCCCTTATCGCTGCGCGTTATGGGGAGGCCGGGGAGGGACCGGGCTGGGGAGGAGCCCACCCCCGCGTCTGTCTCCAGCCACCCCCGACCAGCAGGACTCCCTTTCCCCCACCCCGCCTGCCCGCCCTGGAGCAGGGGCCCGGCGGGCTCTGGGTGTGGGGGGCCACCGCTGTGGCCCAGCTGCTGTGGCCAGCAGGCCTGGGGGGCCCTGGCGGTAGCCGGGCCGCCGTCCTGGTCCAACAGTGGGTCAGTTACGCCGACACGGAGCTAATACCAGCTGCCTGTGGAGCATCGCTGCCGGCCTTGGGACTCCGAAGCTCTGCCCAGGACCCCCAGGTGATTGGGGAGAAGGGAAGAGGGAGAGGGGGAAATTTAGAAGAAAGAAGGTGGAATGGGTAGTGAAGATAGCATGTCAGATGTGGAGAAACACTGATCAAATCCCAGATTGCCGCCTGGTATGATAACCTTGGGCCGGTTTCTTAAACTCTGAAGCCTCGGTCTTCCCGTTGATGAAAAGAGAAGTTTTCATGTTGAGGAACTCGAGAAGATTAAAAGAAGTGTGCAGAGCAGTCTGGTGCCAGGTGTTTTAAAGTCTGGGCACAAAAGTTTGAGGAGTCTGAGGCTGATGAAGGCCGTGGTTACTGTGAAGTGTAGAAAATAAAGACTGGGTGAAGGAGAGATGAGAGGCAAGTGGGGTGCGAGAGAGAGGTGGCCCCTGCTGGAAGGAGATGAGGGAGAGGGAAATGAGGAAGGGCTGGAAGGGAGAGGAGAGAGAACTGTACCAGACTGTAGCCAGGAATTCTTCAAAGCAACCACCTCCTTGCAGAGTTTTGAGCACATGGTGGATACTTCATATTTCTTGAATGAATGAATGAATGAATGAATGGATGGATGAATGAAATGAATATATGACTTAGACCCTGACTTGCTTCCTTATATCCTGCTTATTCTGTCTAAAATAGAGGTTCCCTCTCTGGAATTCCTTGTCCCCACTTCAGCCTGATTTATTTTTCTTTAGAGCACTTAGGAAGAAAAATAGGGTAATGTGTTATATGTTTGCATATGTATTGTCTGTCTCCCCCGCTAGAGTGTTAACTCCACCAGGCAGGGTCTGTTTTCATCTCCTCATTCTTAGAGAAGTGTCTGGCCTGTAGTAGGTACTTAATACTTCTTGAAGCAATTACTGTGCTGTCTCATGTAATCTTAACATTAACTTCTTGTGTTTGATATATTGCATCTGACACATAGTAAGTGTTCAGCAGGAATTCATTGAACAAATGGGAATATTTTTATGACCATTTGACCTCAGAGGTGGTGATTTGTGGAGTAGAAGGGGGTCACCTGGATTGGGTGGGGATAAGGGGTGGGATTGAGGTGGGCCAAGCCTTATCACATTCATAACCTCTTCCCTTTCCTGCTAGGCTGCCCTGGGGGCCCTGGGGAGGGCTCTGAGCCCCTTGGAAGAGTGGCTTCGGCTGCACACCTACCTGGCTGGGGAGGCTCCCACTCTGGCTGACCTGGCGGCTGTCACAGCCTTGCTGCTGCCTTTCCGTTACGTAAGTCACCGGGGCCTAGAGAAGAATGACAGAAGCTCCCCTCAGACCTCATTATAGGGTGACTAAGGCTATTTCAATTCTTGTCACCATCCCAGGTCCTGGACCCCTCTGCGCGCCGGATCTGGGGTAATGTGACACGCTGGTTTATCACCTGTGTCCAGCAGCCAGAATTCCGTGCAGTGCTGGGGGAAGTGGTTCTGTACTCAGGGGCCAGACTGCTCTCCCAACAGCCAGGTGAGGCAGGGTAGGGAGTAAAATGGGAGGGGTTCCTCTGGGCTTTCCGTGTAGCTCACTTTCTTTTTTTGTTTTCTTATGAATGGTGGAATCACTGGGGAAGGGGCCTGAGGAAGGGTGAGATGGGAGACCAGCATGGAGGAGCACTTGGGCAGCTGGAATAGCCTGTCTGAAACATAGTAGTAAGGTTCACAGAGGGTCCCCAATGGGCCAAGTTGGCATTTCTGTGCCTCTGCCTAGGCTCTGAGGTCCCTGCACCCCCAAAGACTGCTACGCAACTCAAGAAAGAGGCAAAGAAACGGGAGAAGCTAGAGAAATTCCAGCAGAAGCAGAAGAGCCAACAGCAGCAGCCGCCCCCAGGGGAGGTGAGAAGCTAAGGGTAGGACTGGAAGAAAGCTGGTAGCACACATGGGTGGATGATATCTGTGCCTGTATCTCTTCCCTCCCAAGCAGAAGAAACCAAAACCAGAGAAGAGGGGGAAACGGGATCCTGGGGTCATTACCTACGACCTCCCAACCCCATCTGGGGAAAAGAAAGGTACTAGAAGGGGGTAGGGACCCCAGCGCTTCACATCCACCCTCTTCTGCTGCTGCGCAGTGTTAACCTCTTCCTACTCTGCCGTTGCGCCCACTGCTTGGCTTGTGAGGATTTGCACAGCCCCTGGATCTCCCAATGCCTGTCCTGTGATGTAAGCACCAAAGGCCCGTCGTCGGCCCAGCTGCTCCCAGCCTCAGGCACTGACCCTCCCCTTCTCTCCCCCAGATGTCAGTGGCACCATGCCTGACTCCTACAGCCCTCAGTACGTGGAAGCTGCCTGGTACCCTTGGTGGGAGCAGCAGGGCTTCTTCAAGCCCGAGTATGGAGTGAGTGGCCTCCACTGCCCAGGCCTGGAGGAGATGTGGGAGGGGGACAGCAGGGCCAGAGGACAGGTTGCCTGGGAGGGGGCCGGGAGAGGTGACATGAGGCCTTATCATGTGCCCGTCCTTCCTCCCCCATCAGCGTGCCAGCGTGTCAGCACCAAATCCCCGGGGAATCTTCATGATGTGCATCCCACCCCCCAATGTGACAGGCTCCCTGCACCTGGGCCACGCACTCACCAACGCCATCCAGGACTCCCTGACCCGATGGTGAGTTCCTGTCCTCTCCTTCAACGGGTTCCCTCTGCCTTCTCTGGCTTCTCACTCCTGTCCTCCCTTCTGTTCCCTGACAGGCCATCTGTCCTCCCTTCTTCCATATTGGCCCTCAGCTGTGCCCCCTGGTGGTGCTACACTTCTCTCGTAATCATTCCCATCATCCTCAGCATGCTCCCCCAGTCAAGCAACCAACACCCCTCATTTGCAGATGCTGTTCTCTCCCTGCTCTTGCTATGGAAAATAACATTATTTTGAGTTAAACAAGAAATCTGTGAATATGTTTTTGTAAGAAATTTAAAGCTTCAAGTCTCTTTGCGTCTCTCTAGACCTACTCCCTCCCGAAACATAGCCATTATTACCACTTTGATGTGTATCATTCCAGATCTTTCCTATCTACTTACAAATATGCATGCCCATAGAACTGTATAATTTTCCTTTTGAGTGGGTTTTTCTTTTTCTCTTCTTTAACATAAAGGGCTCACCCCAAACATATTACTCTACGACTTTTTTATTTTTTTTTAACACTTAGCAGTTTACTTTGGAGATCTTTTCCTTGTTCTTATACATAGACTGATCTCATTCTCTTTCATTGCTCCATAGCATTCTATAATGTGGCTGTGCTGTAATAATCACTTTTTTTTTTTTTTTTTTTTTTTTTATTTTAGAGTAAGTGCACAAGACAGGGAGAGGAGCAGAGGGGGGGAGAGAGAGA